TGTGAGCTGTGATGTGTGTGCTGGGAGTTGAACCCAGGTCCTCTGGAAGAGCAGTTAGTGCTCTTAATTGCTAAGCCATTTCTCCAGCCTTTAATTTTTTTGTTGTTTGTTTGTTTTTAGAGACAGGGTTTCTCTGTGGCTTTGGAGGCTGTCCTGGAACTAGCTCTTATAGACTAGGCTGGTCTCAAAGTCACAGAGATCTGCCTGCCTCTGCCTCCCCAGTGCTGGCTAAAGGCGTGCACCACCACCGCAGCAAATTTTTTAAATTTATTTTTTATGAATATGAATTTTTGCCCGCATGCATGTATGTGCACCAAGTACATCCCTGGTGCCAGAGGAAGTCAGAAAAGGGCTTTGGATCCCCAGGAACTGGAATTATGAATGGCATTAGTCATCATGTGGATGCTTGGAATTGAATCCAGGTTCTCTGCAAGAACAAGTGCTCTTGTGTACCCAGCACTCTCTCCAGACTCCTTTTTGAAGCTATTTATTGTGTTTGAAGGCAAGTGTGTACATACCAAAATGCATACGTGGAGTTGCTTTATCCTTCCATATTTACATGGGTTCTGGGGACTGAATTTGGTCAGGTTTAGGAAGCACTTTGAATTAAAACTACACCCTTGTTGGGCATTGGTGGCGCACGCCTTTAGTCCCAGCCCTTGGGAGGCAGAGGCAGGCAGATCTCTGTGAATTCAAGACCAGTTGGTCTACAAGAGCTAGTTCCAGGAGAGACTCCAAAGCCACAGAAAAACCCTGTCTCGAAAAAAACCAACCCCCCCTCCTCCCCCCCAAAAAAAACCAAAACCCAAACTACACCTCTGCTGAACCTTGCCATTAGTCTTTAGGAAGGCTTGTTTGGGATACATAGCTAGAACCAGAAAGGAATGTTTGTTGTTCTTTTTCATTTTGGTTAACAGTTCTTTTCTTCTTATTTAAGATTTATTTATTATGTATACAGTTTTCTACCTGCACACCTGCACTTCAAAAGAGAGCACCAGATCTCATTTATGGATGGTTGTTAGTCACCATCTGGTTGCTGGGAATTGAACTCAAGACCTCTGGAAGAGGAGCCTCTCCAGCATTTTTTTTTTCTAGGTAGGATCTCACTAAGTAGTTCTGGCTGACATAGAATTCACTTTTACATATTTATTTGAGACAAGGTCTGGCTATACAATCCAAGCTGGTCTTTGTGTATGTGTGTGACACACAGAGAAAGAGAAAGCATTTGCATCATGGCATAAATGTGTAGGTCAGGGCCTGGAGAGATGGCTCAGTGGTTAAGAAGACTGACTGCTCTTCCTGAGGACCCAGATTCAATTCCCACCACCCACATGACAGCTCACAATTGTATGTAATTCCAGTTCCAGGGGATCTATTACCAATAGTCAAAGCACCAATGCACATAAAATAAAGATTAAAAAAAATATGGAGGTCAGAGGACACCTTTTTTTTTTTTTTTTTTTGAGGCTGTCCTGGTAGACCAGGCTGGTCTCGAACTCAAGATCTGCCTGCCTTTGCCTCCCTAGTGCTGGGATTAAAGGCATGCGCCACCAACGCCTGGCTCAGAGGACGACTTTTTGGGAGTTCATTTTCTTTCAACCTTGTTTTAAGGCAGGCTCACTCCTTTCTTCTTCTTTTTTTTTTTTGCTGCACTCCATGCTAGTTGGCATGAGAGCAATTTTCCCATCTTGCTTATAGGAGTGCTGGGATTACAGATGTGTACCATTGCATCCAGCTTTTTACAAAAGTTCTTTGGGCCAAGCAGTAGTAGCACAGGCCTTTAAATCCCAGCACTCGGGAAACAGAGGCAGGTGGATCTCTTTGAGTCTGAGATCAGCCTGGTAAGAAAAAGAGTTCTGTGGACCAAGCTCAGGTGGCTAGCACTTTTACCTAGTGAGCCATTTCCCATTCCCCAGGCTGATTTTGGTATTACATTTTTCTTATATCAGATGCCTGAGTACTGGGAATACAGCACCATACCCATATTTCAGCTAGTCAAAAGTGAGGTAGACCCTAGTATTTATTTATTTACTGTATTTTCAGAGTTTCTCTGTATATTCCTGGCTGTCCTGGAACTCACTCTGTAGACCAAGCTGGCCTCGAAATCAGAGATCTACCTGCCTCGGACTCCCAAGTGTTGGGATTAAAGGTGTGTTCCACTACCACCTAGCTCTATTTTTATTATTTTGATTCCTTTTTTTTGGGGGGGTGTTCGAGATAGGGTTTCTCTGTGGTTTTGGATGTTGTCCTGGAACTAGCTCTTGTAGACCAGGCTAGTCTCAAACTCACAGAGATCTGCCTGCCTCTGCCTCTGAGGGCTGGGATTAAAAGCGTGTACCACCACTGCCCAACTTATTTTGTTTTCTTGAGACAGAGAACTCAGTATGTAGACCAGCCTGGCCTTGATATCTATATCTTCTTGCTTCTACCTCTTGAATATTTGGGATTAAAATTGCTCATCACCATACCCAGCATTTAAGAAAATTAAAATATTTTTTAAAACGTATACAGGTGATTTGTCTGTAAGCCTGTACCATGTGCTTTCGGTGACACAGAGGCCAGAAGAGGTTAAAATAGATTGCAAGCTATCTTGTTGGTCCTAGGAACAGAATTCAGGTCCTTTGGCCTGAGCCAGTGCTCTTAACTACTGAATCATCTCTTCCCCACTACCTACCTTTATATTTTTTCTTTCTTTCACTTTCTTCCTGTCCTTCCTTCCTTCCTTTGGTGTGTGTGTGTGTGTCTATGTGTAAACAAGGCTGGTTTTGTAGTCACAGAGATTTGCCCTGCTAGTGCCTCTTGAGTGCTGAGATGAAAGGTTGAGTGCCACACCTGGTCCCATTATCTTTTATTAATATCTTTCCAGATAATTATATATATCTGAAAAGGCAAAGTGTAAAACAATATGTTTACTTTTGGGCAGGGCACTGAGAACATGTGGGTAAGGTTTTCTTTTTTGTTTCTGATACAGGGTTTCTCTGTGTAATAGTCCTGGCTGTCCTGGAACTCTCTGTAGAACCAGGCTGGCCTCGAACTCACAGGGATCCACCTGCCTTTGCTGGGATAAAAGGCGTGAACTACTATGGCCTGGCAGTGGGGAAGGTTTTTGCTGATAATTCATACTAGACTTTATTTTTATAAAAGTAAACATTTATTACCTCTATAATTTTGAGATTTTTATTTTATGAGTGTTTGCCTGACTGTATGTCTGTGTATCAGAAGAGGGTGTCAGATTCCCTAAGACTGAAGTTAGAGATTGTTAGGAGCTTCCATGTAGGTGCTGGGAATCACATACCAGGTTCTCTGGAAGAGCAGCCAGTCTTAACCACTGAACCATCTCTCCAGCCCCACCTCTGTAATTTATTCAAAACGAAACAAAACAACCCACAAAACTTTTTAAAACTCCTAACTTGAAAAAAAGCAAACATATACTTACTGCAAGACTATATACATGTCTTTTTATTATTTACTTATTTTGGTTTTTCGAGACAGGGTTTCTCTGTGTAGCTTTGGAGGCTGTCCTGGAACTCCCTTTGTAGACCAGGCTGGCTTCGAACTCACAGAGATCCACCAGCCTCCTGAGTGCTGTAATTAAAGGCATGCTCCAGCAACGCCCAGTTTACACGTCTTTTTAAAGACAGAATAATCTTGAACTTTAGAAGATTAACTAGGGGTGTGTGTACCAAGTATACAAGAGCCAAGGGGTGTGTGGGTGTGTGTGTGTACACACTGAGTATGCAAGAGCTAAGGGGTGTGTGTATACAAACGGAGTATGTAACAGCCAAGGTGTGTGTGTGTGTATACATACCGAGTATGCAACAGTCCAGGCTGGCCTCTACCAGTGTCTTCCAGTAAGTGCTGGGATTATAGGCATATGCCACCACACCAGTCTTTATTCAACTGCCATTTCCCAGTGTCCACAATTGCTTTTCCCATGTCTGTCTCTGATTTACCAAGGGCTCAAGATATTTCTTGGAACTGTTGCTAACAATAAACAGGTCCTTAAAATGGGAAAGGAGTATCAGATTCTCCAAGACATCCCCCCCACCTCCCCCCAGACAGGGTTTCCCTGTGGCTTTGGAGGCTGTCTGGGAACTAGCTCTTGTAGACCAGGCTGGTCTCGAAGTCACAGAGATCCGCCTGCCTCTGCCTCCCGAGTGCTGGGATTAAAGGCGTGCGCCACCACGGCCGGCAAGACATTTTTTAAAAAGGATTTTTATTTGATGTTTATGGTTATTTTACTTGCATGCAAGTCTATGCACGGTGTTAGTGCATTGCCCTCTAAGGTCATTAGAGGGTGTCTGATTCCCTGGAACTGGAGTTGCAGATGGTTATGAGTTGCTTTGAGTGCTGGAAATAAAACTGGGTCTTCTGGAAGAGGAAGCAGCCAATATTCTTAGTTGCTGAGCCATCTTCCCAGCCTCATAAAAAGGGTCCTTAATGTGGAAAACCTGCACGCCAATTGCAGATATATGTGTGTGTTTGTGTGTGTTGGGGGGATAATTTGGAAGCCAATGCTACAAAGTCGACTGCAGCTGGTAGTGGTGGCGCACACCGTTAATACTAGGCAGAGGCAGGAACATCTGTTGAGTTTAAGGTTAGCCAGATATACATATCGAGTCCAGGTCAGCCACCAAGCTACCTTATGAGACCTTGTCTTTAAAAAAAAAAAACGAAAACAAAGCGAGTTTGGAGTTTGGAGCTTGGAGCTCAGGCTCCAAAACTGATTTGTTTCATTTCACTGGCTGATCTGCAAAACAAAACAAAAACAAAAACAAAAAAAACCTCCCAAAGGATGTTCCCACTGTACAGCTTCAACGCAGCACGGAGTTGACTGGTTTCAGATCCCACGAAGCGTGCCGGGCAAGCACGGAACTGGGGAACTGACTACAACTCCCATCTTGCTTTGCGCTCCAGACAAGAGTCCTACGCTAGCACGCGAGCCTACCCGCCCCTCCAGCCTCCAGTTACTGTGTATCGCGAGAAGACGGGCCGCTCCGGCGGTAGCGATAACGAGCCTTGGTGGTGGTAGTGGTGGTAGTGGCGGTGGCGGCCGAGAAGGCGGCGGCCATTTTGGTGAGGCCTCGGGAGCGGCGGCGGCGGCGGCGGGGTCGCTGGGAGTAGCGTCTCCTTTTCCTGCAACTTACTGATCGCATCTCCGTGGCGGGACCAGGAGCGGTGCGAGCACGGGGGCGGCTCTAGCTGCGGCCCTTAGGGGAATTTAGAGCGGTGAAGGCGGCGACCAGGAGGGGGCCCTCCCCCCTCCTCGGCGGGAGGGGGGGTGGTGAGCACGCCCCCGAGGACGCAGGTAAGGAGAGGGAGACAAGATGGCGGAGGCGTCCCAGTGCCCCCTCCCCTGACGGGTGGCTGCGCGCGCACCTCCGAGTGCCTCTTCCCACCTTCCCGGGGTGCTGCGCGCGCACCTCCAGCCGGGGCCCCGGGGCCGG